ATGAATAATCAAAATTTTCAAAAAATTCCCAAGTACACCCCTGACGAAATAATTTCTTTTTGAAGGTGTCAAAAGGTCACTATTATTGATCATATTTAACAGCCAAAATTTGGTTCTTTTATTTGTTTCCATTTTTAAGAAAATTCAAAAAATTAAAATAAAAAAAATAATTTCGAGAGGCTGTTGCTCGCTTAGGGGGCACTTTAGGACATAGGTCTATAGGAACTTTTTTTCCATTTCTTGGTTAAGGAATCTGCCTGAGAATTTTGGGACACATTTTAAAGGACACCCTGTATATTCTAAAAATTTGTCAAAATGTGCTAGCATCTCACTATAGTCTAGAACTCTTCGGGTTTAAAGGCAGAAAGAGTCAAGTTTTTATTTAGAAACATTGTATATTCTGGAATTCGACGTAATATGACAACATCTCACTATAGTCTATAATTTCTCTTTGTTATTAATACTTAAAATACTTCAAAAAGTTCTAGAGGCTAGAATTCCATGCAGAGAGAGTCAAGTTATCATTTAGAACTCGTCATAATATGGCAGCATCTCACTATGGTCTTTAATTTCTATTTATTAATAATACTTAATAATTTTCAAAAAATGCTAGATTCTAGAACTCTATGGATCTCAATATAGAGAGAGTTAAGTTATTATTTAGAAGCAATGTAATTTAGGAGCAATATGTGTTTTAGAAGTTGTCATAATATGACAGCATTTTACTATCGCCTAGAATTTATATGTTTAATCATTACTTATAATTATTTTAAAAGTGCCAGAGCTATAAATGAAAATAATTTAGCTATTTAAACGAACAAAAACTCTTCGTAAACTATCGATTAACAGTCTGATTTTTAAATTTTATTTTATTTATTATATTGGGATGCTAACTTCCGGTTGTTAACTATCAATATATTTATTAAATCACCCTGTAGTTAATGAATTGAATAATTATACATATAATAAATACACAAAAGTCCCGTAAAAATACTGTGTTTTACATTAATACTTATAAAAAAAATATATTGGCCCATGTCGATATTTACGAATCACCCTGTACAAATGGCACTTAATATCTTTTGTATTATCATCAGACATGATAAATAAAGCAATAATGTATTTTTTAGGAAATATTTTTACCTTTTAGAACATTAAAAGTAATGATCAAAAACACGTCCTTACTTATTTGTAGCTCACCCTGTGGAGGAAAATAATTTTTTACCTCTTTTTATATTCGTAGAATACTAAAAGATGTAACAATAAGATTTGACACAAAAAATTGTAATCGATAAGCTTTCTCCTGAAATTACCGTTATCAAATAAGTGGTATTTCTTAAGTTTAACACCCTGTATCTCAAAAATGAATCATAGAAAAATGCTGTTATTTTGGGAAATATCTGCTACAGAACGGATGATACACCAGTGAAAAAATATGTATACTTTTACAGGACTAATAAAAAAATATAGGGTGCTTAAAAAAACTTGTTTTTTTGACACATTTGATAAATTAACTATCAATATATTTATTAAATCACCCTGTAGTCAATGAACTGCATAATTTTATATATCGTAAACACACAAAAGTCCCGTAAAAATACTGAGTTTCACATTAATATTTATAAATAAAAATATTGACCTATGTCAATATTTACGAATCACCCTGTATAAATGGCACCTAATTTTTTTTGTATTATCATCAGACATGATAAATATAGCAATAATTTATTTTTTAGTAAATATTTTCATCTTCTAGAACAATAAAACAATATTGTTTAATCTTGAACCTCGCCTGCCTCCATCTAATGAAGGTGGTTATAAAAGATAATCTCAAATTTGAAGTTCCACATGTGAAAAATGTAACTTTTCCTAAATTACCGTTGCTCCCCCTATCCCCAGTACAAATGGGGTAGACGGAGTTTGGTTTGTGTACACCCTTAAGCCTAGGCTTAAGGGGTATCATTAATTAATAACTTGCTTAACTTCGGGAATTTTACTTAGCACCTTCGTCATTCAAGGGTGAAGTTGAATGAGAAAATGGTGGAGAATTTACGACATTTGACAACTGACATATGATGGAAGACACGTAGTTACAATTATGGTTGAGATAATAATAATAATTAAATTTGACATTAGTTAAATTGAATATGCTAAATTAGTTTTGTGACAAATTTTATAGTATAAATCTAAACAATTTGACAGGATGTCCAAGACTTTGGAGAGGCCACGAGTAAATTCTGTTGGTATTATAAAGTTAGAGTGCCATTTGATTTTAAAAAAGAAGAATTTGACATTAGACATTAGATTTAGGTTAAGGAAATTTATGATATATATGAATTTTTTGAAAAAGGGGGCTATTATATATATTATTACAAGTAAAAGGTTGAAGGATTTACAAAGGATTTAGGAAACTTTAGAAGGTTAATCTGGAAAAAATAGGCTTATATGTAGGTTGTAATTGATCATTTAAACACACCACATCTGGATTATTAGTATGTTGATGAATGTAATACATTTCAAGTAAGTCCAGCCTAATGCCTTTGGAACATTGGATAAGGAGAGAGGCGTTATCTGGAAAAGTGAAGTTATGTTTAGTATAGAGAACATGATTAGCAAATGTGGAATTGGTATCTAAAATATTCGAGGATTTATATCTGTTGATGGTTTTGTAATGTTCTAAAATTCGGGTTTCTGTCTTTCTTCCTGACTGGCCGACGTAGATGGCATTGCAATCATTACAATTCAGTAGATATACCCCTGGTTTATGAAAAGTGGGTACAAGATCTTTATTCCGTACTAGAAGTGAGTAAAGTGAGTTGGTACTTTTAAAGGCTATGTTTATGTTGAATTTTCTGAATATTTTAGCTAGTTCATATGACACACTGCCCAAGAAAGGAATAGAACCAGAATAAACCTTAGGAACAATGGAATTAGAAGAATTAAGTGAGATGGTGGGAAAGGACAATCTAAATTTGTTGAAAAATCTGAAGTACATTTTATTAAGAAGCTCTAAGGGGAAATCATTGTTGATAGCAAGTTGTTTAATTAAATCTATCTCTTTATTAAAGTTTGATTCTGACAGAGGGATGGTGAAAACTCTATGTAGAAAACTATTAAAGGAAGCTTTTTTATGTGACAAAGAGTGGCATAAGTCAAATGGTATAAGGGTATCTGTAGTGGTAGGTTTTCTATATATATCAAACTGTAATCTATTGTTTATTGTGTCTTTGGTAATAAATAAATCTAGAAACGGTATAGTGTTGTTATTTTCAAATTCTACAGTGAAATTTATACGGGGATGTAAGGTATTTATATAAGTAAAGAAGGAATCGAACTGTGTTAAGGAACCATTGAAGAGCATAAGTATGTCGTCTACATATCGTTGATAAAAGATTATTTTGTCAGAAAAGGGATTATTTAGAATAAGTTTTTGTTCAATATTGTTCATAAATATATCTGCCAAGAAGGGGGAGAGGTTGGAGCCCATGGCTAAACCGGATGATTGTCTATAAATTTTATCATTGAATTTAAAAAAGTTTTGACTGAGTGAAATCCCTAATAGGTAGCAAATATCTAGAATGACATAAGTTTCAATATTCTTTTCAAAGAGGAGATTCCTGACCAAAGTTATGACTTCTTCAGGGGGAATACTCGGAAAGAGATTAGAATCATCCAAGGAGAGTAAAATAGAATCTGGTGGTATGTGTAGGTTAGAAATTTTTGAAGTTAGATCAAGTGAATTTTTTATCGCATATTTATTATCAAATTTGGTCAGATCCCTAAGTAAGGAATTAAGAAATATGGAAATTTTTGAAACAGGAGAATCGATGAACCTTACGACTGGTCTTATTGGGATGTTGGTTTTGTGGATTTTAGGAAGTCCATAGAGGAGAGGTGTAACTGGGTTCATAGGTACTAGGGTGAAAAAGGGTTTGTTAAATAGTTTTAAAACGTCATTGATGGGTTTCAATAAGGTTCTAAGATTAGAGTGGAATTTGATAGTAGGATCTGTTTTAATTTCAGTAAAAGAGTTATCTGAATTTAAAAAAAGGTTAACTTTGTCAATATAATCCTCTCTGTTAAGAATGACTAAACAATTACCTTTGTCAGCTTTTGTAATCAAAAGGTTTTCACTTTTAATTTTGTTGTTTAAAATTTTTAGTTCATTGTTAAAGTTACCAGAGAAGTTTATTTTGAGTTTAGGAGTGGGTTTATTATGGAAATTATTAAGGGTGGAGCAAATTTCATTTTTTATAGACTCGTTGTTAGTACATTTACTAGATTGTAAGATTACTTCTGACTCTATGGAAAGAAAGTGTAGATTTTTATCAGACTTAGAAGGGTAGCAATTGAATTTTAGGCCCATATTAAAAATCTCGGTTTGTTTGTCATTAAAAGTGGCGTTACTTAAATTTAGGTATCTAGGATGGAATTTATGGTTAGAGAAATTAGGTTTTGGTTTGTTGAATTGGGTTTGATTGAATCTGAGTCTATGTAGTTTTTTTGACAAATTATGAAATATGTCCTTACCTGTATCCTCTACAAAGTCTCTGACATCACTGTCAAAAACATTAAACTCTAACTTATTAAGAAAATTATTGAGCAAAAAATAAAGGTATTTAAGTTTAACGTTAATAAGGTGAAGGTCTGAATAGTGGCGTTTAATTTCTTGATTAAGCCAAACAAATCTAGCAGCTCTTAAGGAGTTGTAAGATGTTCTATTGTTGATGTTGGAGTGAAGCGACACTGATCTTGGTGTGACATTGTATTTCTTGCATTGTTGTAAGAACCAGATTAGTAATATGGTTCTTTTCCTACGAAGCATGGTGTCTTGGTAGTTGTGGATAATTGTAGCTTGACTAGCATGACGTAATGTGGTCGACAGACTTTGAGCCTTTTACTTCCCTTTAATCTACTTCGGACCACTTTGAGATATGGATAATATTTGGAATAACAGGAAATGAGAAATAATTTGTGAATATTTGTAAAAAGTCTAACAATACAATATACAATTTATTGAAAACGTAACTAGAACAATATTTCAAAATGTTAAAATATCCTTAATTAATTGTTTTTGCACAAATGAGATTTTAGTGTTCCCATTATTTTTTTCATAATCTTCGTGGATATATTTTGATAGCAATTCGACAATTCATTTTTCTCAAAACAAAATTCTAAATCGTCCAGTTGACTGAAATAAAATAATATACTTAATTATTGTTAATTTTGCAATAATTTTTGTCGTTCAGAATAAATCATAAATCAACTTTACTAACCTGCACTGTTTACCAATTCCTTGAATATCGTAGAGGGGAAGAGGATTTGTATAATTTAAAAGGCATTTCCTTAGTACACCAGTAATTCCTGTATTCCAACAGCTATCTTCACTTTTTTCGAAGAGATCTACAGGAATAAATTTGAATATACATTTTTATTAATCTTGATAACTCTTAATAAAAAATGATTACTATAAAGTAGGTACTAATTTTCATACACGTAAATAAACAATTGGCAAGAATTCAGAACAGGGAACTATATAGAAATATTCCTTCAACTTCAAATTTAATCCAACAACTTAATGCACAACAAAATGAACGCTTTGGATCCAGTAAAACAAATCTTCATTCTACTAACCAGAAACATAAAACCAAATCCGACACAGTCAATTTACAAAAATTGTTCACACTATGGTAAAAAAAATTACATAACTAGAAAGTGCCTTTCAGTGAACAAACTTCAATGCAAAAGTTGCAAAAAACAAGGTCACATCGATAAAGTATGTATAAACAGTCTTCTAAAACACCAACAGTCTGTTCAAAACATTGAAAATGTAGTATAATTCTGTATCTTAGATATCTATAAAGCTTATTTACACTTTCAAATTGATAACGAAAGCTCAAAAATTCAAGCCCTGTCAACACATCGAGGTACCTGTTTGGCCAATAGATTATATTTTGGAATCAAAACAGCACCCAATGAATTCCACAAAATATTAGACCAGATTTTTTATGATTTAGAAGGAACGACCATGTATTTCGATGACATACTGGTCAAGGATTTGTCTATATCTCAATGGTCACTTCGACTAATTAAAGTATTGGAAAGACTACGTAAATACAACCTTCACCTTAATAAAAATAAGTGTAAGTTTTTCGAAAAAAAGATAGAATATTTGGGTCACACGCAGTCACAAGCAGTCCAGAATGCACCCCGGCCCAAAAATCGCAACAGTTTAAGTTTATTCCAGATGCTTCAACTGTTCTTCATCCGTTAAACCGCTTAATCAGAAAAATTGTTTCCTTTAAATGGAATAAGTCTGAAATTGCAAGTGATCGGGTGTTAATACCATTCAATACAGACCTAAATGTCATCTTGGCAACAGATGCGAGTCCATATGGATTGGCAGGAGTTTTATCTCATCGATTTCAAGATGGTACAGAAAGGCCAATAGCTTTTATATCCAGATCTTTAACCACAGCCGAACAGAATTACAGTCAGCTAGACAAAGAAGCTACTGCAATATACTGGGCTTGTAAAAGACTATTTCATTATATCTATGGATGTAACTTTACGTTAATTGTTAACAACAAACCACTTTTTTAATTTTAAATCCGCAAAAACAACTACCAACTTTATCAGCAACTAGAATGTTACGTTATGCACAGTTTTTAGCTGGATTCAACTATGACATCGAATGTATGAAGTCTTCAGAACATTTAAACGCAGATTATTTTTTAAGAAACCCTACAAAATTAACTCTAGAAAAAGAAAAATACATCGATAGCGTATATTTAACAAATATTGATCTATTTCATAAAATAAGTACAGATACTATAACCGCTGAACGTATAATAAAAGAAACAAACTAAATTATCTAGACTCATAGAAGAATTACTCCAAGGAAGTAGAAGAGATCCTGAATTATCTCTACAAAATGGTATACTTTTCAGAGGTCACCCTGTTATTATTCCAAAGTGCTTGCAACCATTTATTCTACAAGAACTACACCCTACACATTTAGAAATCGTTAAGATGAAAGCACTGGCCCGGAACTATTGTTATTGGAAAAACATTGACTCTAATATTGAAAATTTAGTTAAAAGTTATTTAGCATGTAGTAACGTCCGAACAGATCCAACGAAGGTGACCGGGTACAATCTAGAAACTATTCAACGCCCATTAAGTGGAAGTATGGCATAGTAATTCAACGTTTAGGTCGACTACATTATCTAGTGGAACTAGATGATGGATATAAAATTAAACGTCATTATGACCAACTTCGTCCCAGCAATATTGACCATTCTAATAATTTTTCAAATACTAATGAGTATAATGATATTAATGATACAATTATATCAAAGGAATTAAGTGTACCCTTGGAATCTAAAGATCACGAGACGAATGTTGACCATCGAAAAGAAAATAGCCAGACTGAAATAGCTCACATGACTCTAGATCTTAAATATGAACCAATTAATAAAGAAAAACCGATTCACGTCTTCAAGAGAATCAAGAAAATCAAATACCGTCATATCCGTCCAAATCACCGCAGGTTTTGAGAAGATCCACTAGAACCCGTAATCCCATTCAAAGAAACCTATTGAATGTCTCAGAAATTACAAGGGGAAGAATTGTTATATATTTAATAGAGCATTTATATATTAAGTTAGTCGTTGGATGGTTAGTTTTTATATTTTATATTTTTTGACTTAATTCAATTCTTGTCAAGATATTTTTTGTAACGTCAAAGCTTTATAATAAATATATTAATACACGGGTATTATCGTTTCAATCAGTACAAAATAGCTGCCAAAGGACTTTTTGCTGGAATTACACACAAGATTTTTTCTACGATCATTTCAAAGTAAAATTATTTTATTAGAAATTGGTTAGCTATTTTCTTTCGTTATAATATTGTGACTTTATTTGATATGTCTTCACTAGGTTGGACCGAAATAGGCACAATAGAGAATATTAATGGTTCAGAATTATGTTTTGACATTTGACCACCTCCTAAAATATTTTATTTTGTCCAAGTAATGTAAAAATTCGAAAAATTAAAGTAGAAATTCGTATATAGACTTTTAAAAAATGCTCAAAAGAAATAGGTGCCCAAAAAAGATTCATAACAGTTTAGAATTAAGATTTGACGTTTGACCACTCCCTAAAAAAATTTTAATGTGCCAGGTAGTGTTAAAATTCTAAAAATACCATTTGAAAATCGAATTTTTAATTGTAAAAACATGGCAATCAATATAGGTACACAACACAGATCAATAATGGTTAAGAATTATGTTTTGACATTTAATCGCCACTAAAAGAAATTTGATATGCCCCAGTTAATTGAAAATTCAAAAAATACAAATTGTAAAATTAATTTTTATATTTTTTAAAAAATTGCCTGTTTCTCAAAAGAAAAGTAAAATTTTCCGCATCGGTCATGGTCTGGGGCAGCATGTCATCTAAAGGAATAGGGAAACTGCATTTTATTGAAAGAATTTTAAATACAAATAATTAGTTGGACATTTTGGAGGAATCACTTTTACCGACTATGGAATTATATTTGACATCAGGGAAAGATTTTGTATTTCAACAGGATGGAGCAGGATGTCACACGTCAAAAAAAGCTCTAAAATGGACGGAAGACTTCGGTGTTCCACTTTTGGAATGGGTTTCTAGTAGTCCTGATTTATCACCAATAGAAACATTGTGGCATGAGATGAAGAAGGTACTTCGAAAACATCCTGCAAGAACAATACCTGAACTTAAACAAAAACTTCAAGATATATGGGATTCGTTTACACCAAAATTTTGCCAAGGCTTAGTTAATACCATCCCGCAAAGAATTTCAGCTGTAATAAAAAATAAAGGTGACGTTACTCAATTGTAAACTTTAAAATTGATTAACGTTTGATTCCAACTATTTGTTTATTTTTTTTTAATTTTATGTTAAATAAATATTTTAATGTTTTCTACATATTTTTTGTGATTAAACGATATTAATCACATTGTTTAATGAATAAAAATTGAAAAGTTCATGCAATATTTATATTTTTATTCTTTAAATATGAATTTCCTAAATTTCAATAGTTGGGCCAACTGAAATGGGAAGGGGCTCGTATTACTAACGGCGGCTATCAGTGCGTTAATTATTATTATTATAAAACGGAGAGAACAGGAAAAAAGTGACAAAAAGACGGTGTTGGATGTCAAATATTTTTAAAATTAGATCCAAATACAGTGAAAGTAATCTTCTACATGACTTGCAAAGATATGGGATGTTTTTTAAATAATTTTTGTCGCATGAGTAGTACCGATTTTGAAACACTAATTAATTTAGTTGGCCCACATATCCAAAGAAAGAAGACTTCCATTTTTTTTTATTATTTAGCATCCCTTTGATGTACCGCTACCTGACCGAATAGTCAAAACAGGTGTTTTGGGTGATTGCAAGCACGAGGAACGCTGCAAACAGCTCAAACACGACGAATATGATTTTTGTTTCATTCGCGCTGTTTGCTCCGTTTGTTGGACAATGTGGACCCACCTTAAGGAAACAGAGTTAAATTGATTGGCTTGATAAAATAAAATCTCTTGTAGATACATTTTATTATTGGACTGTAACTTCTTAAAATAATAATAATAACAATAATTAATAGCTTGTAATCACTTACCCTTTGCAATTTGAGCATTATCGTTACATACGTATGCAGCAACTTCCTTATCTATTTTTTTCCATACTTCAATTCCATTACGATGCGTAGAATTTAAACAATCTTGATATACTGATATACTACTGTCTAGGCAATCATCTAAATGAGGTTTTACAGAACACCTCTTTAGTACCATTTGGTAAGGAATTGAGTTCCGGCCGTATACATTCATGTCAAATTCACTATGCCCTGTTTCATTAATATAACATCTATCCATAGCGTTCCCAAGTTCCTGCAGAAAAATGTTTACCGGTACAATAATTCCTGATATCATCAAAATTATTGTCAAAATTTTCATTATTTAGTTCTAAGAGTTCTACATATATAAAATAAGTTTATAATTTAATTTTAATTTAAATCTGGTTGGGTGGAAGATTGGAATTTAATTCCAAACTCTGCCTTTTGACATAATGGGCCATGTTCACATGTGAGATATGCTGTTTTATAAACTATATTGTAATAGTTAGTCGCTATACAAGTTATTCTAAATAATCAGTTCGTTAAAAAAGCTAAAAGTTTTTAAATTAAGCCCAATTGAAATTTAAAATTTGAAATTATACGTCATCGGGAATAGACCAATCAGCTTGTGTCGAAGTTTTTTTTGTTTTACAAAACCAAGCCAACGAACAAACCTACATACAGAATGTCGAAGTGACATTAAAAATTGACAGCACCTAATAACTAACCTTAGTTTTTTGTTTTGGTTTAATTTTATTATTAATCTGAATTTATCTGGGTAAATTATCCTGTGGGATATAGGATATATAAAGGAAGAAGAATATGAATTTATCAGCTGTATTTATAAAAGTTGAATCAAGTATTTTTCCCATTGTAAACGAAAATATGATTACCGAGATGATTACTGCATTTTTTAACAATACTCAGTTTCCAAAAGATAGAAAGGTAAAACTTTATTTATAAATTGTTTTAATGGTAGGTAGTTACAGTTTATATGAAGCAGTACACTTTATAGTAAAACATATTTATCTCAGGTTTTATTTTTAGATCTGCCAAGCAAGAATATGGAGATATTTACTTTTTCCATAAGAGAGAAGGAGACAAATTACACCTAAACATAAAGTACAGCAAAAACCTTATGATGTGGCTGTTTTTTAGTGCACAATGCTTAGGATATGTTGAATCTCAAGGTTTGTAATATTTATTATGCTTTTTTGTTTTTATATCACATATAATAAACAGTGTATAAGGCCCTTTATTCTTATAAATATTTTTTTTTCTAACTTTGACATAAAGAGACATTTTTTGTAATCGCAGCAAGTGTTAAAATAATCTAGAAATAGATTTTGTTAGTGAACCTAGTAATAATTATGATACCAAAGAATGCTGCAGAGCACCTATGAAATTTTGAGTTAAAACATGCCATATTTTTAGGCTATTTTTATACCCTTTTCAAAAATTTTATGCTCCTCGTTTTATGCAAAACTTAAAATGCTCTGATAGCTTCGAACGAAGTCAGCAAAGCACCTGTTTTATAAAGTTTTTTCTGTAAAAACAGCAACACCATATATTTATGCACTTGAAATATTTAAAAAATACATGGTGCTTGCTAACCTTTGAAAGAAGCCAGCAGAGCAATTCGGTTTTTTAAAGCTTTTTTCTAAAAACCACACCCCATTTTTAGACTCTTGAAATATTGTAAAACTTTACTAAAAAAATTGCTATTTTTAAATAATACAGGGTGCTTTGTTGGAACAAAGTCAGCAGGACACTTCAGTTTTTTAATATATAAAAACAACTACTTATGACACATGTTTAGGCTGTTTTAAAATCCTAAAAATGTGGTAAGTATATTTGTTTTCAGAAAAAAAACTTTGAAGCCAGCAAGAAATTGCGAATTTTTTTTAAAAATGTCAAATTTCGAATATTTTATAATATTGTAGGAGCCAAAAAATGTGGTGTGGTTTAAAAAAAAACTGGGGTGCTCTGCTGGATTCGTTTGAAGCTAACAAAGCATCCCGTAATTTTTTATTTTATAATACTCAATAGCCTAAAATGAGACATAGCTGTTTAAACAAAAATGGTACTTTTAAAAATAGCAGTTTTTTTCGAAAAGCTCTATAATATTTCAAAAATGTGAAAATGTGGTGAGCTTGTTTTTTTTAAGTTTTGAAAATCAGAGGTTCTTTACTGGATTCGTTCAGAGCTAGTAAAGTGCTCGTCTTGTTACATAAAATAAGGCATTTTGTAGCTGGTTATATAGTTATTTTGTAACTGCATATCTAACCCTTTTATTTTTTTCAGGAGGTTGTAAACATGTGGCTTCATAGAAGAAGTGAGGAACCATCTGTAACATCTACTCAGTGTTATTGATAATGATGTACACTTGGCTAGATTGTTAAAGAAACCTCTTCATCCACTACAGGAAAATAAATCAGTACTTTTATATTCTTAGGATTTGTATATATTTTTTATTTGTAAATAAATTGTTTTTTTACTTCATTTTTCTCATTTTTTATTAAAAGGTTAATAAATAAAATTTTCACAGATTTTTATATTTTTGTTTGTAAACAATAATTGAAGTTTTTATTAAAAATCACCAATGTTAATAATAATAACTTAAGTCAATATTATTCTTTCTCCTTTTTTAAAGCTACTATTAATAAAGGTATTACTTTAGCTTGACCTATGATCAATTTTTAATTTTGTGATATATTTGGTTTGACAGAAAAAAAATTAAAACCCTTTGACATTGGTTGTTTTTACTTAGATTTTCATAAAAAATAAACGGAACTGCAAACATGTTTTACTATCGTAATAACGAATAGCAATATGAAATTTTTTTTTCACATTTATCACTGTTGTCATTTTCATAAGAAGGCACACTTTCTGGTTTTTTGAAAAAGGTGGCAAGAATTGTGATATTTTTAAATTTATCACCAGTGATACCACATGTAGCTACCCGATTTATTGGAATATATAGACTTTGCTACCACATTCAACTGAACTTGGTTTTTAATATTTATCACTGTGACATAGACGTTTTTGTTAAAATGTTTCATTTTAAACTGCTGTAAATAGGTGCCTTTGTTTTGGTAGTTTTAGTCCCAAAAAAATCTATGCATATACAGGTACTCATTCCTCTTCGATTTGCTCGCAAAGTTAAATTTTTATCAAAAATTACATTGGCTGTTTAAAAACTCATTATAATCCCTGAAATGTGATAATTAGGTAAATTAAATTAAAAAACAAACAAAAAAGTTTATTAAATTAATATTTACTCTTACAAAATAGGTTCTTGTAAGTTAACAAGCAATTATGCAGATATTACTAAGTAAATGTACTTGCTTAAAATTCACACACGAATGTGGTTTTAACATGTTAAATTAACTAACCCTTCTTATAACTCTTTCCACATGTATTCTTAGAGATGCTATTCTTTTACTTAATTATACATCTTCTGGATAAGTTTTTTCATTCTGTGATACACTAGGTGTGGCTTTACTAAAGTGTATCCCATGTTTTCAAGTAGCTGATTATTCTGAAACCCCTATCTGCCATTATATGGGATCCAGGAACCAGTTTGTTTAAATACCCACATTTTTCCATTATTTCTTTATCACTAGTTCTTCCACAAAATGATGAATAAATTCGGTATCTTCAAAACTTTCAGGAGATTCTGCATTTTCTTCCAGAAGGGTTTTTAGGTTATACACCTAAGAATTTATAGTAGCCTTATTTTCAATTTCCTGAAGGGGACAATTAGCAGAAATTGCTGCTACATCTTGATAATCCGGTGTATTTTTATTAAAAAGTTCACGAGAAACATCGCTAGTAGAAGGTTGATTTTCTTCTTTCCAAATTTCTAGGAACACTAATAAATATTTTTGAAGATGAATGTGAATCATTATCACATTCTGGAACAAAACACTTTTTCGTAGTCATAATATTTATAAAAAGTACAAAATTAAACAATCAAATTCCAAATAAATTCTTGATGGAGACACTATGATGACAGATGCCATACACAGTGCTGCCATTTTGCCATTTTCTGAATTATTAAGTGACTTTTAAAACAATGAAACTTTAAATATGGTAAAAGTTTAAACAGAAATAATACTTTCAAAAAACATTTGATATTATATATTTAAAAGATATTTGTTTAACGATGTTTTAGAAGTCTAAAAGTAAGAAGGAGTACACAAACGAACGTACATCACTTCTCGTAAACCTTCTAGCCGGCAACGTTGTGCGCTAGCTCCTATTGGTCTATTCCCGGTGACGTCATAAATTTTAAAAAAATTCATAACTCCGGGAAATGAATAGACAAAAAAAAAATAAAAAAAATGTAATTTTATTTTCAACTCTATTATTCATAAAAAAAATTTCAAAATTTTTGAACATGCCCCATTTTGTATATAACCTACTATTAAAATGTATATTTTGTTCTTATGTATTTAAATGTCAATAAAAGCGATATTATTTATAATTTATAATGAGGTACTGAAGTTTCTAGAAATCAAAATTATAATAAAAATCAGAATGTTGTGGGGTTGTTGATTTTGAAAAATTGTCAGATAGATTTTATTTGTCAGGAAAAGTTATAGAAAAAAGAAAAATATTAGATTCAGTTAAAGAGATTAATTGAAATGTTATTACTGAAGAATTGTTAGGTTGAAGAAGAGAAATAGATTTAAATAAAAGAGCCAGACCCCTCTTTGAGAGCCTAGAAAATTTTTGGAGAATTGACATACAAGGTGTTTCTATATCAAGTGTCGCCAGCCAACGTGGGGCAAGGATTACATAGTTTTTTGGTGCCTGTGATATTAGAGCTGATTTTAACTATATTTGGGACGCTAAATCTGTACATGCAATCCGTTTTTCTCTATCAGCTCTACTTTTTTAGATACATCAACTTATCTACCAATGTGGTTTTTATTCAGTATATTCGTTTATAAGAGTTCTAAAATTATTATATATTCATTAATATAGGTACAATGGTTTTATTGTCAGTCTGTAATTAAGTATATAAATACTTCCTTTACACTACTGTCAACAGGATCAAACTGGCTAGGTATGATTATCACATACAATAGAGAAGAACAATAAATGTGGAGAGTTATTGTATTTTATGAATATTATGTATTTTATTCCAATGATATTTGGTGGTGTACTAAATGAAATCAAAATAATGATATTAGAAGACTTGTAACATATTATATAAATAAAAATTTCATAGGTTTAATCGGTCATTCTTTTTATTTTTAAATGTTTAGCACTACATATTGTGATGTTTGTTTATTTTAAACAGTTTATTTGTAAATAATTTATTTAAACACTTATTTATTTATAACACTACTATTCTAATTTATATGTATTTCGAATGTTTTTGAACTGTTCACTATTTATATTCACCACTGTCTATCTACTAATAACTATTTACCTTCACTGTCCATATAATAACTGATACAGCGTTCACCTCCACCAATATTTATATACAAATTTAAAATTATGGTGAATGTTGTAGAATATTCTTCGTCAAAACTAGAAACATCACGTTTTACCTGGAAAAGTCCCGAAAGCACATAGGTTTGGTCATAAGGCGTTTAATTATGTATAATAATCGGACAAGTTGAGCCTCAAAGGCCAAATAAGACAGAGAGGGGCTTGGAGGGTTAGAGCATGACTGAATAATGAAATTGCTCACATAGCAATATGTTTTTCCATCTTCGGGTGAGTCAAAAAAATTAAAAAAAAAAACAAGGGGACGATTACAACAGTTTAAAAATTTATAAAATAGCAAAACCCCATCTTTTTCATTCATCGTATGAAGGTATATTCGAAATAATATTGATTTGGTTTAACACGATAATGACAAAGTAGGGAAACAAAAAGATGAGTTTTTACAAAGTTAAAAATTACCAGTGGCATTACTGGTTAAATTCTACAATTTTACCAGTAAAAACATCAACAAATTAATATTTTACATCTACTAAATAAATAAACAATTCTCAAATAGTTCGACTGCTTTTTACCCTAATATAATGTGAAGTCATAAAACTATAAATAGCATTTTTCTCAGAATACCGAACGTCAAACACCTGTGTTTTCAGGTGCACAACGAAGCATAAATGACGTATTTCATTATGTCATGATGTTTTCATTGGTTGAAACCGAATAGGTGCGTCAACTATGCCCCGGACACTCATTTCGGTCGAACAGTATATATTAGGGCGAGCTCGACGCGAATGGCATTCAGTAGTTGTCTTATTGCCACCAACGATCAACGAGTCAGTTGTGCTTTTGCCATCATCGCGTTCAGGTGCTTTCTGCCGACGGCACGTTACTTTCTACATTTTTACAAGCGTTTAATACAGTTTATTTTCTGGTGCAAGTTATATCTTCTACAATTATTATGGCATAAGAAATTCTACAAACAAATGTTTTCAAGTTGGTAACTAAAAATTCAACTGTATTAGTTAATCAAATTGTGATGAACTAAAATTGTAAATATTTAAAACTGTTTAGTGAAGATAAGAAAATTATTATATCTAAATGGAATCAACCACTATGTATTTACTTCAGTGAAAATAGTAAATTAAAAACACTTCTTTTTCTACTACCTATGACTCGTTAGTTATTTCTACAAAAGAACCCAATTCTTCTAACACCAGCGACATATGCTCATAGAAATAATATTGAAGACCAATATAAACATAACATTTAAGCAGAAATTGAAACCTACTGTGTATAAAAACGCGTCTCTGTGCCTGACATCGCAAAATAGTGTGTCTAGAAGCTTGCGCAATAAGCATGACTTGTCCCTGTAGTGTTGCCAAATATATTAAACATACCTAACAGAAAAAAATTTTAAATTAATTAATTTTTTAAATTATATGATTTAAACAGTTTATATCTACGAAATATCGCCACAAAATAACTTATAAACATTTAAATAATCAACTAATAATATTTATGTGTAATTACATTCCCAAAAATATATACAAATACCGTATTAATGTCATTAATACCGTATTTTTAATGTTCAATAAGCGATTCACCTACAAATTCAATATTGACCTGGCAATAGCACTAAAATCCGGTGTTTCAAGGCTATATGACGCTGCCCTTACAGGACCGTTTGTAGTTTATTATTTATGCCGCGTTTGAGAATCCACATCGGATGCATCTGAGATGTAGTAAGTAGTAAATCTTTGATCACGTGATTCAATATACGTAAATGTAATGGGACAGATGTGTCCGATGTTGATAAAAAAACGCTCGAGATGTAAAAAATGCATCCGATGTGGATTCTCAAACGCGGCATTAATTACACGATGAAAGTGGCATTTTATTTTTAGTTTTGTGTAGTGTTTAGTCAAATCCTAGGTACAATAAAAGACATTTTTACATTGGCTGATGAAAATGTAATCAATGTATTAGGCAGCTGTTATATTTATTACAAGATTTATGTCTGCAAATCAAAACCTACCTAAGAATTATAATTATGTAAATAGAGATCAATAGCGACGGGGAGACATTATCGATATCGGTTTTAAGGCATTTTAAAACATAAACCTGATCTCAACAATCTTAGGAACTCTTCTGTCACTCGATATTTTAATCGGTACTTCCTCTTCGTTTTTTGGCTGGCACAACAATTATTTACATTTCTTCATTCCTTACGGCGTTCGAACCAGTAAGGTTTAAAGAAATTTAAAAAAAAACCTACTTTAAAAATAAAGATGTTAATGATTTTCTTATGGATCCCATCTTTAGATCTTGACTTAATGTATATAAAACTGTTTCCTTTTCTAACAAAAAGAATCCTAGAAATCGGGCAACGTGGTAAAGAATTATCGCTCAACATACATAAAAAAATATTTCAACGAATTGAGAATATCCTACCATTTTGAAGTATGTTAAAAAAAAATTATTAATAAAGTGAAAAGTAGGGCATGAACATATATTATAAAGTATATAAAATGATAGATAATTCCAGTTTAGAAGGTATTATAAATAAACTGTGGAAATATCGAGAATCTCGATTTTGATTCGGAAAAATATTCTACGCAATTTAGTATGAAAGCTGATCAAAATGAAACACATGAACGACAAACTGTTATTGACAACTTTCTTCAAACATTTTCTATTTTTCCGAAAACTAACTAGATAGTTCGAAAATCATTTCCTTCGTTAAAACGCCTCTTGTTCCGAAAAAGGTACACGCCTGTCAACATTCATCGTTCATTAAAAAAGTGGTAGATACAAAACGCTTCGTATTGTAAGGCCAAAATATATTTAGAAATCGAAATATTCATATAAACAAAAAAATCATATGAGTGAGATAACTACCAAATTAATGATTTACAAGTTTATTCCTATTATTTATAAAATAGGTTTGCAATGTGCTGGTGTGGAATGTTATCATCGACTAAAAACTTTAAATATTTGTATTAAATTGATCGAAAACAAACTATAAATTGGTTTAGGCTATATAGAATGTTCCTAGTAAGCAGCAACTAATTTTTATTATGGAACCGAAAGACCCTTTTAAAAGGGTTCAAAATTAAAATAAAATATGTACCAAGTAAATGTAGTAGTATTTTTTAATTTTTTTAATTTATATTGAAAATGGTAATATGAAAGGTTTTGTCTAACGACTCATAGTCTCGGCTGACAAAATGTAAAAAAATATCGAACATAATATTCCTGGGTCCTATTTTGCACTCCCCAGATTAAATTTAGTTGTAGCAAATGATATTATCAAATAAGATGTCAAATCACAAGCAAAATCTCGTCACTACAGTACTAATGATTGCCTGTTTGGAAAAGTACCTTTGTTTGTAAATATTTATATGCATAGTTATATTTAATGCGCGAGTGTAATGTTAAGTATAAACAAAATCCGCCCATTATGTATATACGTTTAGTTACCGACCCTAGTAGATAGGCAATTTGTTATTGTTTTAAGTTTTACCGTAGGGAGAGAGAAAATCAATATTAGGATAAATGGTCCAGCTCCTTTCTGGTTACGTAGGTATCTAAAAAGTATTTTAGTTTTTGGTTAAGTAATTAATTATTGTAACAGTGATTTTCTTGTGATAGTACCTAATTTAGATTGTGGATTAAAGTTTTTGTATATCATTTCGCTGTTTAATAATAAACGTAGTCAAAACCGGAGCACGTGGTTTTTCTGGAAAGTATTTTTAAAATCACAAGCAAAATCTCATGACTACTGTACTAATGATTGCCGAAAATTAACTAATTCATATTTTATGCCATATCTTTCTTAATAAGGACTGTCAGAACCATATTTACCTTAACTTGAAATTTTTTTAATCGTTTTTTGTATATAATCATCTTTAAAAATGTATGATTGAAATATCGTGCGAACTATTTGTTCGATCAATAAAAAACTTGCACCGGTCCTGTTCGCGCCAGCACCGTTATACGCATGAGCTCCGACACACTATTTTCTCCTTATGGTTTCATTTTTGATATATGGAATCGGCTTTCTATACTATTTCTATGCATATGCTACAGAACATTTTTACCAAAGAAATATTCGGAAGTAACACCGGTATTTTTTCAATTACATTTAAGGATTAGAAGCTTAACCTAGGAAATTTTTATTTATATACGTTCAGGAAATTATCCTTATTCATGTAACATATTAGTGTACAATTCATGCAGATTTAGATACTTTATTTATAAACATAAAAAACTTCCTAGTCACTGTAAGAGAAAAAAAAACAGGCAATCTACCGAGACAACTGGGAACTTATTGGTTACATTAGCAACATCGCAGTTTCTTGAACCTATCACAAACGAACTAAATATACTGACCAAACGTTTTGACTTACTATAATTTTATCATTACAGGTGCGGTTTCCTTGGCTGCTAATTATAGATGGCAAATATACATTATGAACGATTCCTAAAATTTATCAAATTAATATTTTAATATTATATGTAAAATACACTTTACCCAAAAAAATATAAAGCGCAGAGTCCAGTCCACCAGTTTGTAACAACATGGCTAAAAGAGAACTTAATATAGATACTAAATAGATATATTTATACTTTTCTGATGGTCTAAAATTAAAATCTGTTTACAAAATAAGTTATTTAACCTTAATGAACTTTCATATGCAATAATACGAAATAGTATCACTAGAAAGTCTATTATTCATATACCAATAATAATAACAATATTAACTAATAGTACAGTGGATAGATACCACTAAAAACAAAAATGGCACCAAGAATATTGTTTCATAAAGTGATATAATAAAAATAAATCTTTATCATCCAAAGGTGGGTTATAAGAGTAACTGACATATCTATTAAAACATGCGTGTCATTTTTGAACAACTCCCATGTCAAGTTTTCGTTGGGTCACCTTGTATAGAGTATTTAATTTAAAAAAGAATAACGTATAAATAATAACATTTAAACAAAATTTAAACTAAATAGATCGATCTCATAATATTACAAAGAAATACTGAATAAATAGTTTTGAAAACTATTAAAACCAATGGGGCATGTTCAAAAATTTTGAATTTTTTTTTATGAATAATCTCACATGTGAACATGGCCCATTATGATGTTTGAAACGAATAAATTGGTAATGAGACTATTATTTGACCAGGTCCGGTTCTGTTTATTTTCAAATAAGCAAACATAGTCGTCGATAAAATCTCTACAAAAAAACTTACCAAACAAAAATGTAAGTTTTCTTTATCGGCGTCACATTTCGCACTTTTGTTATAAATACAGCTTTTTACTTCACATCTTGACATTTTTAACATTTACAAAATTTACTCTGACATGTGACGTCTTCAACTGTGATTGGTCGGTATGAACAATTTTGAAGTGGGATTATGCGCATTGTGTTATGTTCTAAGGTTGGTATAATCTTAGATAGACTCCAACAGACACTGAGGTGATTCCATAGAAATAGTATAGAAAGCCGATTCCATATATCAAAAATGAAACCATAAGGAGAAAATAGTGTGTCGGAGCTCATGCGTATAACGGTGCTGGCGCGAACAGGACCGGTGCAAGTTTTTTATTGATCGAACAAATAGTTCGCACGATATTTCAATCATACATTTTTAGAGATGATTATATACAAAAAACGATTAAAAAAAATTTCAAGTTAAGGTAAATATGGTTCTGAAAGTCCTTATTAAGAAAGATATGGCATAAAATATGAATTAGTTAATTTTCGGCAATCATTAGTACAGTAGTCATGAGATTTTGCTTGTGATTTTAAAAATACTTTCCAGAAAAACCACGTGCTCCGGTTTTGACTACGTTTATTATTAAACAGCGAAATGATATACAAAAACTTTAATCCACAATCTAAATTAGGTACTATCACAAGAAAATCACTGTTACAATAATTAATTACTTAACCAAAAACTAAAATACTTTTTAGGTACCTACGTAACCAGAAAGGAGCTGGACCATTTATCCTAATATTGATTTTCTCTCTCCCTACGGTAAAACTTAAAACAATAACAAATTGCCTATCTACTAGGGTCGGTAACTAAACGTATATACATAATGGGCGGATTTTGTTTATACTTAACATTACACTCGCGCATTTAAATATAACTATGCATATAAATATTTACAAACAAAGATACTTTTCCAAACAGACAATCATTAGTACTGTAGTCACGAGATTTTGCTTGTAATTTGACATCTTATTTGATAATATCATTTGCTACAACTAAATTTAATCTGGGGAGTGCAAAATAGGGCCCAGGAATATTATGTTCGATATTTTTTTACATTTTGTCAGCCGAGACTATGAGTCATTAGACAGAAAACCTTTCATGTTACCATTTTCAATATAAATTAAAAAATTAAAAAATACTACTACATTTACTTGGTACATATTTTATTTTAATTTTGAACCCTTTTAAAAGGGTCTTTCGGTTCCATAATAAAAATTAGTTGCTGCTTACTAGGAACATTCTATATAGCCTAAACCAATTTATAGTTTGTTTTCGATCAATTTAATACAAAGATTTAAAGTTTTTAGTCGATGATAACATTCCACACCAGCACATTGCAAACCTATTTTATAAATAATAGGAATAAGCTTGTAAATCATTAATTTGGTAGTTATCTCACTCATATGATTTTTTTGTTTATATGACTATTTCGATTTCTAAATATATTTTGGCCTTACAATACGAAGCGTTTTGTATCTACCACTTTTTTAATGAACGATGAATGTTGGCAGGCGTGTACCTTTTTCGGAACAAGAGGCGTTTTAACGAAGGAAATGATTTTCGAACTATCTAGTTAGTTTTCGGAAAAATAGAAAACGTTTGAAGAAAGTTGTCAATAACAGTTTGTCGTTCATGTGTTACATTTTGATCAGCTTTCATAATAAATTGCGTAGAATATTTTTCCGATTCAAAATCGAGATTCTCGATATTTCCACAGTTTATTTATAATACCTTCTAAACTGGATTTATCTATCATTTTATATACTTTATAATATATGTTCATGCCCTACTTTTCACTTTATTAACAATTTTATTTTAACATACTTCAAAATGGTAGGATATTCTCAATTCGTTGAAATATTTTTTTATGTATGTTGAGCGATAATTCTTTACCACGTTGCCCGATTTCTAGGATTATTTTTGTTAGAAAAGGAAACAGTTTTATATACATTAAGTCAAGATCTGAAGATGGAATCCATAAGAAAATCATTAACATCTTTATTTTTAAAGTAGGTTTTTTTTAAATTTCTTTAAACCTTACTGGTTCGAACGCGGTAAGGAATGAAGAAATGTAAATAATTGTTGTGCCAGCCAAAAAGCGAAGAGGAAGTACCGATTAAAATATCGAGTGACAAAAGAGTTCCTAAGATTGTTGAGATCGGGTTTATGTTTTAAAATGCCTTAAAACCGATATCGATAATGTCTCCCCGTCGCTGGGCAGCCTGTATATAAATATACAGCTCTCTATTTACATAATTATAATTCTTAGGTAGGTTTAGATTTGCAGACATAAATCTTGTAATAAATATAACAGCTGCCTAATACATTGATTACATTTTCATTAGCCAATGTAAAAATGTCTTTTATTGTACCTAGGATTTGACTAAACACTACACAAAACTAAAAATAAAATGCTACTTTCATCGTGTAATTAATGCCGCGTTTGAGAATCCACATCGGATGCATTTTTTACATCTCGAGCGTTTTTTATCCACATCGGACACTTCTGTCCCATTACATTTACGTATACTGAATCACGTGATCAAAGATTTACTACTTACTACATCTCAGATGCATCCGATGTGGATTCTCAAACGCGGCATAAACAATAAACTACAAACGGTCCTGTAAGGGCAGCGTCATATAGCCTTGAAACACCGGATTTTAGTGCTATTGCCAGGTCAATATTGAATTTGTAGGTGAATCGCTTATTGAACATTAAAAATACGGTATTAATGACATTAATACGGTATTTGTATATATTTTTGGGAATGTAATTACACATAAATATTAGTTGATTATTTAAATGTGTATAAGTTATTTTGTGGCGATATTTCGTAGATATAAACTGTTTAAATCATATAATTTAAAAATTAATTAATTTAAAATTCTTTTCTGTTAGGTATGTTTAATATATTTGGCAACACTACAGGGACAAGTCATGCATATTGCGCAAGCTTCTAGACACACTATTTTGCGATGTCAGGCGCAGAGACGCGTTTTTATGCACAGTAGGTTTCAATTTCTGCTTAAATGTTATGTTTATATTGGTCTTCTATATTATTTCTATGGGTGATTCCTCCATGTTTCTTTTTGACTAACAATGTTTCTGATTTTAATGTTTATTGCTTGTCTAAACTTTTGCTGTTTAAACACTTTTATAATCACATGAAATCTCCCAAATAAGATAAAAACAAAGTGTTGTAGGGTTAATAATAAACTATAAACAAACAATTGATAATTATTTATTTAAAACACTTTAAAAATATTTGTTAAACAATTATTACTTTTATTTTAACTGAAAATTTACATATTTAAGCTGTTGGTTTACTTTTACATGGTTTTGTGATTGCTTCCGTAAAATCATTTTCGAATTTTGTAAGTTCATCTGAATGCTTACAGTCTTTCTGTATTTGTTTGGTGTAACATGCGTTGATTGGAATCCAATTTCTGTAAAATAAGTGCGACTTTTAACATTATCTTTATAAAAAAATAAAAATTTATGATTTCAAAGAATTATTAATATAGTACTTCTCCAAAAGTAACCTTTAAAATTAATAAGGACCTCTCAATTTTAAATAATTTATATGAGTTACATTGGCAGAAAATTTTTACCTTTGATAGTTATTATCATTTCTTTTAAATAATATTTATTGTTCATTCTTCTTTCAAAATTTTATAATAGTATTAAGCTCTGAGTTAAATTTATTTTTAATATAAAAAAAATAACTTACTGACAAAACTTTTCTTTGGAATCTACCAATTCATCTTCAATCAATATTTTGTCAACACACTTATTGTACTCTTCGGTGCTTTCTTTACTATTCAGTTTTGGAATGCAGGGTCCCAATTCAGCTAAAAAATTCATTAAAAAGAAAATTCCTTGAATATTCTACATAAAAATTTTAATAACTTACATGATATAATCATAAAATCATCGTATAGAAAACTAATCATGGATTCCACTATTTTAAAAAACAATGGTGGAAGGTACTTGTATTTTTCCGGTAAACATGATTCGAAAAGTTCAATTGATTCATTACTACATTTTTCCATATGGTGTAAATATTCATGTTTGGGTACCAAAAACATTTGCTTTTCTTCGGTACATTTCTTCATTTTTTCCAAAGTATCCTAAAATGAATCATTGCTGATTTTAATCTACCAATATTGATTACATTATGGAGTGAATCACAAAAGAAGTTTATAAAGCAAGACTTGCAAAAATTAACGCATATATAATTCTTGTTCTTTTTGAGTGTCTTAGAATTTACGTTAGTCTTGCGTAGTTATCATGGACATGATTCAAATATCTGTCTTTACAAACATTCTTTGTGAGTCACTATTTATATTTTTTAACCCACTAACACTTTGTGGCTAAATATTTCATAACTAAAAACCTCTGTATGTAAACGATTATTCTATGCTATAGCCGTCAATTTTCTATTTTTTTTTTTTTTTTTGATTCCTAGAATAAAATCTTACCTCCAATTTTTTAGAAGCATGTCCATTTGAAATACATAAGTTTTTTACTTTATGCTCAATTTTGTGTAATTTATTGGCCACTCCAATTTCACGTACAATTCTTCGCAAAATCACACTTCTTCGTAATCTCTTGTGCTCATTTATATGATCAGTGGTCGTTTCGTCAAGATTGCTTGCTATTATTTTTATTGCAGTCAAAACTATATCGTTAATTTGTTCACTACAATATTTTGGAAATTGGTTCCTCAAACACATTTCGAAATCTTCTAAGTCGCTTAAAGTAAATTTTACAAAAATTAAAGTGGTTTATTGTGTCGTTTCTATTAAATTTAAAAATGGATTAAGTAATACATATTCTTTTAAAATTCCAAGACATTTGAGTTTAATAAATATTTCCACAACTGTCAGTATTAAAAAAGTAAACTAACCTATGAGTAAATTCGTTCCTATTAAGATATGATCCGGTATGCATCGCCTTGTAAATTTTTTGGGAACAATTATGTCTTATTGCTTTGTTAATACCTTCCCAGCAATTTAATTCTTTATGATCAAATGCTGATACTGAAAATAGTAAAAAATCATATGTACAAAGTTTGTTTTTACTGTAATTAACCGTTACTTTTGGCAGATAAGTCCGACTCTATTTATTCATGGTCGTATCGTATTTATTTTAATTGATTTGGAATTTTGTATTAGAGTATATTATACACGAAAAAAACGAGGTCTATTAAACATATTACTTCATTTTCGGTTAATACCAGTATATAAACGAACGTTGCTGGGAATGTATTGATATTAAACTTCTCTAATTAGTCAATTGTTTAATAACCAATGACATATTGCTAAAAACTATAATACCAACTAGTTTTCTGATTATTATTAAACTGATTTAATGGTGCCTATTAAACTCTTTAATAGCAGTTTACTAACCATAATTAGATGTTCAATAACAACAAGTAAATTTTAACGATTGTTATATCTTCCATTCTCTACGTGATGTATTCAAATGGCTGTATCAAATTATACTGCAAACATTAAAAAAAATTATCGATGAGTCTGAGTGTCAGCCTTCTCATTGAACGTGCTTTTTTATTTTTCAATGTTTATGTTCATGATAGTGCGTTACTTTTTTTGTTGTTATTATTAACTATTTTTAAATCTTACGTGACATGCCGTTGTGGCTGGATAAAAATTTGTGTTTATTTTTCAAACACCTTCGTTTGGTAGGTAGGAATGTAGCTATGAACAAGTATGTACTAGTAATATTAGTTATTTTGTTATTAGTTTATTATTAGTACCAATGTATTATGTATTACCAGTTAAATAGTAAAATAAATACATATAATGATAGATTAACTGTGGATTATTTCATTTACGTTTTGTTACGTGGCTCCCGTGTGGGTAGCTCGCTGTTTATTCCAAAATTAACAAAGTAGCTCAACACATTGAGAGGTTGGCGACCACTGATTTAACTAATAATGAATTTATGTGTTATTTTATATCTATTTGAATACAATAATTTAAATTATGGATTTTCATTAGGTAAAGACCAAAAATTTAAAATTTAAAAAGGTTAAAACATAAATCATTACTTACAGTTTTCATAGTAGTTGTTGCATATATAATCAAGCAGTTGTTCATCAGTTTTTTCCCATGTTTCTATGTGTTTAATATTTTGCGTATTTAAGCATTGTTTTGATAGAAAAAGTGCTTTTGCAGTGCAGTTTTTTGAGTTCGATCTTGCAGCGCATTTATTTTTATAATAAGCATTTAAATCATCGCCTTTTATTAGTCGTAATAACAAATCAGTCGTACTGCACTTTGCTGCCTCTTTGTATTCATTCTAAAAAAAAATAATAATTTCATAAATGGGGAAAAATAATTCCGATTTCTCAAAGAAAAAGAGTAAATTTTTAAATCCGCATCACAGCAAAGTCAAGCAACCGTTTCTCTCCCAAAAACATCTATTGTAGTATATAGTAATATTGGTTGCCTAGATGTTAGTAATTTTTTATCTAAACACTTTTTTATGAACAAACTTGGTCAAAAATAGAAAAAATACTGTATTTAACACGATACGACATCCCGTTTTATGTAAGTCCTCAAACCCATACTTAAGATTATTAAACTTGATTTTCCCAAAAATGCGATTCGGTATTTCTGTATTTTCATATTATAATTTATAAATAATAATCAAACATTTAATAGTTAACCCAAAACACATCAAGAAAGAACATACCCCTAGAAGAAAGAAGATATATTTAGAAGATAGAATACCGAAATATGCACTTCAGCATCAACTTTACCTTGTAAGTTACCCATGTTCAATTCACCCCCTGAACAAAAGTCTTCATAAATCTTGTCAAGTGTAACATACTATTAGAAAATGTCAACTCAGATGAGAAGGTAAAAACAAATATTATCGAGATATCATGAAGGCAAAACCAACCACAGAGGAATAAATAAAAGAAAAGCAGAAGTACGTAGACTCTAACTATTGGCCAAATATTAAAAGATACATAGAGGAGACCATCCACCTATGCAACACTTACCTGTACTGGTTGATACAAATTAGGAACTCCATTTGCAGTACACATTTCTTGGGTTAGTACCGCTTCTCTTGCAACAAATATAAATGGGGAATATCCTGAAAATATAAGCAAATAACTTTTAATACATTCTACTAGGTAATGTGCCAAACACATAGTCAACCTGATACAGTGTTAAGTAAAGACGTTCACTAGGAACATTTTTTGTTTCAAAATAAATCGTTAATTGGTAAAGGGACAAACGGTAACCATGAATAAAAGAAACCAAAATGGTTTAAAAAGAAATATGGTTAATGGGTCTTTCGTCATTAATAATAGAGTTACAGGGTATTTTATTGAAATTGCTTATTTTTTTCGAATATCATAACTAATGAACCACCCAGTATATTTTTTAAAAAAATTGGTTTTCTTGTTTTCCTTTCACTGTTAAAACTACTGAAGTTCGAGAAGAAAAATCCAGGTCAGTATTAACAGAAATCTTATAAATTTTTGTGTCCTTTAAACAATACCCTGTACATCAAAATTTATAAAATTACCAACCGTCACTGCACTTGAATCTGTACTACTTTCTACAAATTGAATTACTGCACTCCTTTTTTCTCTAGACTATACTGAAAAGTACGATTTTAGGAGATGGTGAAAAAATTATTTTCTCTATGACCGTGTATTTTTACCCACTTTCCCGCACGCATTTTAGTTTTGAAAGTGTCACTTTCCCGCACTAGTGCAGGAAAAAATCACTTTCCCGCACTAGTGCGGGAAAGTAAAATTATGAATATTTGGCCTTACTTATTGTATAGTTTTTTTAACTCGGATGTTATAACTATTGTTACAATAGGTAATTTAGTATTTTCCAACTATTCCATTTAATAAAATTTACTTTTTTTCTTGCTTTTTGTTATAATTTTAATTTTTTGGAAAACTTGAATAATAGAGATATTTTTATATACCTTCTGTATATTTTTAAAAGTCAGACTAGGCTGTGACATGTATGGCTTGATATGGTTGCTATATGGTAACCAAGGCGTGTTATTGTTACAAAAACGTCAAAGTTGTTTGTTGAAGCGTCAACTGAATTAAAATAAATTAAAGAAATATTTGATTCATCGGATGAAGAGCTGCCCGAAGCCATTTTAAAAGCTGCAAATGAAGCACATTTGGAGGTGTTACCTGCCAAATCACGAGGAAGATATGAAAAACAATACGACCATTTTGTCACATGGTGTAAACAGGAAGGGGTAAAAACCTACAAAGAAGAGGTGTTTCTGGCGTATTTTTCGCACCTAAGTAAGTTTTTGAAATCTAATACTTTATGGTCTCGCTATTCGATGGTGAAAAGTTTAGTAAAAATAAAACAAAATTTGGATATAAGCCAGTTCCATAAGTTAACGTCATTTCTAAAACAAAAAATGTTGGTTTTCGAGCACAGAAGGCGCAGGTTTTTACCAAAGAAGATATATCCAGGTTTATGTTAGCCCCTGATGAGGTATACCTTATGATTAAAGTGAGTACCATTTTTGCTTTAGCTGGTGCTCTCCGCAGAGCGGATCTTGTAAATATCACTCTCGATGATATACAAGATAAAGGCAATCTGATAGTTGTGAAAATTTCCGATTCCAAAACTCATTCTTCAAGATCATTTGTTTTAGGTGAAGAAATAAATAATGGAAACTCATGCGTAAAGTGTCTTTCCTGCACTTGACCGCTTGCCCGAACTCCGCTTCGCGTCGTTCGGGCCAACTGCAGTCGCGTGTGGGAAAGTAACACTTTCCGCACTTGTTAGGAAAATAACTATTTTATTCCGTATTGAGTTATTATATCGCGGTATACCAATTTTTATATTGCAAATATTTTTTATTTTGTAAATAAAAAGTAGATTCTTACCCGCTATTGAAAAAAGTAACGCTAATATCATGTTGTTAATATTTTAATATATATTTCAATACTGACATAAATTTCTTGGTTCTTACAATCTTTGTTATTTGTTTAATTTAACCTTTTCAACTTAGAACTGTTTATTTATATAATTATGAGAGAAAAACACTAATGATTTAATTTCGAAGAAAGTTCAATATAAAAATTTAGATTGAGAAGAATTTCTATTTGTTTGGGTTTACAAGCTTTTCAGAGAATGAATCTGATTACATTTACTTAATCTTTTGGTAAAGTAATTAATTGGCTATCGTCACCTACTGGGGGTTTAGTGAAATGTTAATTATAGAAAATATTTTTTATAACAACAAAATAGGGTTAGTACTTTCAAAGGAATTTAAATTTAAACAGTTTTAAATATCTAAAAAGTATTACACTGATCACAATCGATTTCAAATCAAAATAGTTCCCAAAATATTTCCATTACCTATTATTTTCTGTTAGAGCACCCTGTATGTATGCAGATCTCATTATCGATAAGCATACAGACTATTTTTGTTTTGAAATATCTATCAGTATCCAACCGATATCTAATCTGGTATCAAATGGATATACATTTGTTATTAATAGTTAAATACACAATACCAAGTCGGGAGTTTTGAAACAAAGGTTATGTATGTCGATCATTTATATGTGGGTTCTTATCATGTCTTACGGTCAACTTCTGTTAAAGGACCCCGCATTTATATTGATTTTAGGTACTGTAAGCATTTATTTAAATTATATTTTTTAGGTCATTAAAGGCAACTTTTTAATTGACCCAAGTTTACAGCAGAAGGAGTCAAAAGTAAAGAGTGCAGAATTAGTATTTTTTATACAGGGTGTTATTGAAATACACGTACATATTAAAATGGGGAATAGTATGTAATGACCAAAAACGATTGGCACCAATTTTAACTTCAAATTCTAAAATTTAAATATTGGGAAAGAGTCCCCTTTTCCGACCTACTAGTTTCCATATTTAAAGAAGTAAAATAAATCGAAATTGAACTTACCCATAGAAATTGCACTGTTGCCGTAGCAAAACCAATTAATTCAAAATAAAGTTTATTACAGTAATTGTTCAAAATGCCGTCCATTATTATTTACACACACTTGCAATCGTCTTTCCAAGGAACTTTGAACATTAGAAATTAGTCTTGGATTTTGTCGTAGTTCCTCGGCTACCGCATTAACTTTATTGATTAATTGTTCAACACTATTAATAGGTTCATTATAAACCAGTTGTTTCATGTGACCCCACAAAAAGAAATCGCATGGATTTAAGTCCGGAGATCTCGGAGGCCACTGAGTAGGTCCATTTCTGCCTATACACTTTTGAGGAAATCTAATGTTCAAAAACTGCCGTACGTTTAAATCAAAGTGAGGAGGAGCGCCCTCTAGTAGGTACCACATCTGTTGCCTTAATTGTAACGGTATCTCTTCTAGGAGTACTGGCAAAATATCTTCTAAAAAGTGGAGATATCCTGGCCCATTTAATCTGTTCGGGAGAACATAAGGTCCGATTAAATACTGATCTATTATGCCAGCCCAAACATTTATTGAAAATTTTCTTTGATACCCAGTTTCCCTAATGGCGTGAGGATTTTCATCACTCCAAATATGCGTATTGTGCATATTGAACACGCCATCACGAGTGAATGAAGCCTCGTCAGTATACAATAATATTTTTAGAAAATCAGGAATATCAACACATTTTTGAATCATCCATTCACAAAATCCAGTCTCTTTTCTTCATCACCTGGATATAAGGCCTGGACTTTTTGGATGTGATAAGGATGTAAACCTTGTTCTTTAAGTGTCCGCCACACAACAAATGAGGACACTCCAATTTCAAGACCTAGTCTTCTACAACTTAATTGAGGCCGGTTTTCAACAGCTTCCAATATTTCTTCTTCGGCCGCCAATGTTCTTTGTGTTCTTGTTCTCCCTCGATCTGCATTGACACTCTCAAATTTTCCATGGTCTCTTAGATGCTGAACAGTTGAAATAAACGTACGACAGTCCGTAATTCTCCGATTTGGAAACCGTTCGCGATACAGGATTTGTGCTTGCCGAGAATTTTCTCCAGCTGCCCCATAAACCAGCACTATATCCGTTAGTTCAATATTCGTAAATAGTGGCATCGTAAAAAAATATTTAAAAGTAATCGTAACAACACTTTTTACCAACTTGGAAATGACGCGCTCGTGTTAGCCAGATTCGTAAATCAACTAAAATTTTAATAATCTATAGTTTCCAAAATGTATAGTTTAAAAACAATCATTTATCAAATATTCTAGTTTTTTGATAACGAGGGTAGTAAAAACCAGTCTTCGGAAATAGAAATTAATTCGAAAATCTTGGCAACATGGTTATTTCTTACAAGACTAGTTTTCTTATCATCTGACAAAAACTTGCATATTAATTACTGTTGATGTTTAAAATAGGTAAATAAACCTAATTTATATAGGTCATCCTCAACATATCAGTGAAGTACGTTTGTTTTAAAATTAATAACTCCCTTAATAAGGGGTGTTTTTAAAAAATAATATTTTTCTACATTCAGTGGGGATCTGCGCAATACCCAGTTTTAATATGTACATGTATTTCAATAACACCCTGTATATATCTACATTTTTCTATGATACTTACATCACATGTTATACCTACAAAGGTCAGCTCATGCCTGCTTGCAATTTGTAAAATAATCGTACAAAGTGTTCTAAAAATTAGGTATATCGCTTACTGAAATGAGGTGCATGTCATCGCGTCACAAAATATAAATTTTTACAGAAGCTGTTTTTATTTCCTTAAAACTGAAAATATTGTTTTTCTAATGTAAGAACATATATTTTCTTTTTTCGTTACTATAATCTATTATCAAAATTTTTTTATCTGCACGAATGCAATACTAAGGCCCAGAAGGGACTTATTTGTAACATATAAAGCCTTTTTTAATATTGGGAAATAAAAAACAATCTGATGTATTTTGTATAACATTACTTTTACTACATTTAGTTAAGTGTTTGCAATAAATAATGGCTAAATTATGAATGAATAGATTAGTTTAGTAATTTTTTGTCGTTGATGAGTACTTGCTTTGAATTTCTTATTCTTTTTCGAAAATATGTGTACACAAATTGAAATTAAATATTGTCTTTCTTATAGTGAAAATCATGTTAACAAGTTCCAGCCATATGAATGGTATTTAGTTAAGAAAAATGAACTTTTGCTTCATAATCAAAATATACCTAGATTTTAAGTGAAATTAGTACCTATTTCTAATCAATACTTACTAGAAATAGACAGATTTACCTATGATAGTGTCTATTAGTTTATTCTTTATCACTTGATTGTTAGAATGGCTATGATGATGGCTTTGTAAAGCTGAAAGCACTCCGCCTAATTTTAATAAAATATAATTTTGTACGCACTGATGTATTCCTTTCATTCTTCATCTCAAATAAAAAACAGCAAAAATTAAAAAAAGTCTAGTCAAACCTTAATATTAGTGTGCACTTAAGCAGTTGGTGTTTCTGTTTCTATTAAAAAAACAATTTATGTGTTAACAGCCAAACAAAACAAACAAGATTATTTGGAATAATAAGACCATTGACAAACACAGGTGGAAATGGTTCTCATTAGGACTGGCTAAACGTCATGTGAACTAATGTTAACTAAAGGTACATTGATAAGGCATCTCCCTCCAAATCATATCTGAATACTAATAGCTGAAAAATCGTTTCAGATTACCTTAAACCTAATCTACAGAAACTAATAAGCGACCACTTGCTCACCTTAATTGCCAAAGAAGCCGTTTGGTTCAGTACAACATTTATTTTAAAATTGTGGTGAACATAAAATTAATTTTGAGCTGATGATACTTACATAAAAATGAAATGCTTTTGAATGTTAAAATCCTTCCATCCAAAATATGTCTACCACAATATTAAAAGATAATACATAATATAAAATTTGAATTACTAATTTTTGATTATATTTTTGTATTTTTCTGGGAAAAGCGTCACTTTTTTTTAATTATTTAATAATGTAATTATGACTATTAAAACCGAATGTACCCAGTTGTTTTAATTTTGTTTTAAAAATGTATTTGAAGGGACTAAACTATCCTTAAATAAAAATTTTGTTTTCTAATATGTAATCTCTATAATTCAAGAAACAATTAAATGTTTGCGTTCAATCAATCAGAACATATCAAAATGGCATACCGTATATCTAAGTTTAATTTATTTTACTAAAAATTAAACAAATAAAAACAGAACAATTCTTGTCAGCGAACTCGAATATTGTAACAGTGAATAACTAGGTTTAATGTTGACATGTACCGCAAAAGGCATTTTTTTTTGTAACATGGAATGGTTGAGTTTCCCATTTGGTACAATCACTATGCCTTCTGCTTGGTCTTTCTAATTTTAGTACTTTAGATGAAAACACTTTTTTTATGATGAGTCATAGAGATTGTAAAGAATTAACCGTTGTATTACAATGTTTGAGGCATTCATCACTAGATTTAGATGTAACTATATAATTAGGGAATCAATAAGGTTATTTTCAGTTATTTATTTATTTTTGTTTCAAGTGCTTTCCTAATTTTTTATGTATTGAGATGAGATAAGAGGCGTCCTTTAATTTAATTTTTAGCAAGCAAATACTTGTTGCATTCTTTAGAACAAGGTTTTTTTTTTCAATAAAAGTGCGTAGGTTAGTTTTTTATCTAAGAGAAAACATCCTTTGGTGAAAGCTCTTTTATATTTTAATAGATTTATATTTTAAAGATTACTTTAAAACCTTTAACATATCTTAGAACCTTCTTATCATCAGTTAAGTTAGCCCACATGTTTTACAAATTTATTCAGTCTACTAGCAATCTCTCTTACCTTTATTTCTTTCCCTAATAACTCCTTCTTCCCTCTCTGTTTTTCTGAATACTTGTAAGTTCGTCCTCTGGGTTTTGTATTTTTTTCTGCTTCTTCTCTGGTCTGGTTTTCTTCAGTCGCTATTTGAAAGTAGGCGTCTGAAGTTTAAAAACTGATTGAAATTATTGTTTGCATTTAGTTGG